AGTGCTAATCCTGAAATACTTAAAACTAAGTATCAAATGCATCAAAGAATTTGCGAATTTGATTCGACTCTATCTCGTTCGAGATAAAATCGAAATAGAAATGAATCTTTCAAATGGTTGCAAATACCTTTGAATCATGATACATAATACAGATCACAGAATAGTCACAAAATAAATTAACAAATCAAGCATAATACAGAATGAGATGATCAAATTTTGTAACAATTCTGTATAAACCAGGAGGCGGAATTTCCACTCCGGAGTGGAAGCAAGAAGTCTAATGCCTTTCCTGGATCCTACCTACTTAAAATTAAAGTTTTTACATTCATTCAAAGAAGTATGCTACCTGCCTGCCTATTACCCATATTTTTACCCGTTTCAAGAAAAACCATACATACCCACCCACACACTCCACGGTTCTCTCACATACCACCAGGGTGCAAAAGCCTAAACTAGAGAGCATGCCCCGGGGCACCTCCGACACCCTAGTTCAACCACGTTTTCTAAACTTATATGCTAATGGGTATACGTACGTTTTGCTGTAATCGTCTGCCAAGACTAGTGATTATTGCATAAATAACTACAGCAAAAATACAAGTATACACTAGTATATATATATGCATACTAGTAATATACGAGTATATCAAAGTTTCCACAAATAAATGCAGTAACTCTACTATTCAAAACGGTTATTAAAAAAGAATTAGAAATATTTATTATTAATATAAAAACTACAGAAACGCATATTTTTTATATCACACGTGATATATAGAAGTAATGCTCTCAATATTAAATGATGTATTAATTAAAAACTGTCGCGAAACGATGTACAATGCACACTACCTAATACGCACACACAGGTGTAAAGTACATCGTGCAATCACTAGCACAATAACAGCCGCCAATAGGGGAAAAAACTAAAACTAAACCCATACTAACTGTTTCTCACTCATACGTGTAACACCTGGGCACACGCATAAATGAGAACGCAGAAAGTATGGGGGGGAGAAACGGGGGATTAGTATATTAGAAGCTGAAAAGCCTGATCTAAAAAAATATAATTAACATACATAAATATATCACAAAAGATTTTAATAAAAATTCATCTAAACGGGCTAAGGACTCTACAAGTCATTTGGTGAATAATGACTTAAACAAGCGAATGAAAAAAAAAA